AATCAATACATTCATCGCTTTTTAATTTACGCTAATAACAACTTATGAGGAACATTTTATTACATTTTCAAGGTTTTTTACAAGTGAAAATTTTTTTGTCAACATTAATTTAAAAAAAACTTATGTATAATAACTGAACATTTTATGTTTTTATGTTGTGTAGATAATATAGTTAAACATTCGGTGAAAATGTCATGTATCTATAGTCATTTTTTTTTAAAGTTACACGCTAAAAACCAAAATTTGGTTTTGTCGAAAACCAATTTTACATAAAAATCTCARTTTACCCTCAATTTTTSTTTGTTTTTCCTGACTTTTGAAAACTATTATCTAGGACTTTTCATCCGTTACAAATGTCAATCATTCTATCATCTATGCACTACGTTTAACTTAGTCTATCTACGGCAATTATCGAGTAATTAATTAATAAATACGTTTMAATGTTTAATAATTGATTTTGTTATTACTATAATTACTGTAGTGTTGTAAATTYATTTAGATAATTTATCTATTTAAACATATTTTTAATTTTATCTTATCTATATAAAAATATTTAGATTATCTTTTTATTCGTTTAAGTCCTGAAAAAAAATGTTCTACCTATTATTATTTTAGATTCTGAACGAAGTGATGAATGTATTGATTTTACAATGATGTGTTTTTTTTGCGTCTGTGTACAGCATAACTAGTCGAAATAATGCTTCAATTTCAAACTTTGGGGGTGGTTTCCTATGTAAAAAGTGAATATCCTTAGTGCACATCATGGTAAAATCAATACATTCATCGCTCCGCTCAGAATCTAAAATTCAATACAATATTTTTYATAAATATTGCCTACTTTAATCAAATACAAAATATCTGCCGGAAAGTCAAATTAAATTTTTATGAGCGTTTGAATTTTGAATTTTTACAACATAATAGGATATTCACTTGATTTCTCTTGTGTCGATATTCTTATTTTGTTATTATTCAAAAATGAATCACCGTAAATACTTGAAATTTGCACTATATGTAAATAACCTATTTTATAAATTCCTATACTTACTTGATAACATTTTCAAAATATTTCAAATCTTTTAAAGTTATTTAGAATAATATAATGATTAGAATACATATATTATATAATAGAACAAATTTAAATTTTAAATTTTTTAAATTTTTTATTCTATAAATGTCAATAAAATTATTAAATTGAAAATTTACTAATTATTTAGTTTTTAAAAATTTATAAAACGTTTAACTCTAATAGCTAAGGATTGAAAATTTTAATCAAGGTTTCACGTAAGTAGTTAATTCTGTGACAAAAAGAAATCTGAAAAACTATTCAAACACATTTTTTTAATAGTTTTTTTAAGTTCAAATTTGGACAAAATTACATATTATAAAACAGAACAACAATTTTAGTTATATTGTTGCATTTTTTAAAATTTTTTTTATGTTTAGAAGAAAATATACAATCTATATCTTAGAAATAATAAGTGTATGTGCGATAAGGGAAACAAATAATAGGGTGATTTACATAAATTTGAGGAAAGAAGCCACCCACTGATGACACTTTCGTCTTGGTTTATCATATTAGTGATTTAGTTATATGTTAGTATTTAAATTATATATATTATATATTAAATATTTAATTATATCTTATATGTTATTATTTAAAGTAATAAATCTCTGCACCATTTACGTTTAAGTCGCCTTGGAGGGCTACCTGGGATTGTGAGGGATGATAAGTTTTTAATGAGTGGATTTGAATGAGAGGATAGACAGTTATGAAATTTTTTATAAAAACGTTTAGCTTCGTCATGAATTTAAGTTACAATCTAAATGTTGGGTATGGTTTGATTTGTATGGAGGGACGTTAAATAATTTCCTTAAGGTCATATTTTGGAAAGCTTGAATCTTATTCAGGTTTGACTTTTTAGCATTTCCCCATAGCTGCAATCCGTATGTCCAAATGGGTTTTAATAAGGTTTTATTCAAGAGGAGTTTAATATTAATAGGGTGGCTTTGTTACCAATTAAATTCTTAAGCATACGTAGCCGATTGTTTAGGGATAGTCTTTTTTCAAGTATTCGTTGATCCCAGGTTAAGCGTTGATCGAGAGTTAGACCAAGGTATTTTACTGAAGGTGATGAGGGAATAGAGATGCCATAAAGTATAGTACCCTTGGGCAAGGTGCTTGTCTTAGTGTAAAAGTAGTGTGCACTGATTTATTTTGATTTACTTTAAATTTCCATTTGGTATACCTTCTTTCCGTCATGCCTAGATGGRTTTGCAAATATGCGGAGGCCAAAAACGGGTCATCGTTAATCGAGATAATCACTTTATCATACACGTAGTCGGCGACTGAGGTGTTTGGAGACGTGGGTTGATCAGACACAAAGATATTGTAGAGTAAAAGAGATAAAATGTCACCTTGAGGAACTCCAGCATTTATACTTGCTATTTCAGACGTGGCAGTTCCATAGCAAATTTTATAAGAGCGATCAGAGAKATAAGATTTGAAAAGTAGGAAGTATGATGTAGGTAGGAAGGACTTCAGTTTGTATAACAGACCTTGATGCTAAACACGGTCAAATGCCTGAGAAATATCTAAGAAAGTACAGGTACAATATAACTTTTTTTCAAGAGAGTAGGAAATYGCATCTACCAAGCGGTGGACTTGGTGTATAGTTGAATATGAATAATTACGAAAACCAAATTGATAATCGGGGAGGGTTTGTTTTTCAGCCATGATTGGAGCGATACGTTTGAGCAGTAGTCTTTCTAGGATTTTTGCAAAGAAAGATAGGAGACTTATTGGCCTGTAGGAAGAGGTAGAACCAGGAGGTTTATTTGGCTTTTGGATCATGATTACATTTGAAAATTTCCAAAGCAGTGGAAAGTATGATAGTCTGAGTATTGAATTGTATATATGAGTTTGATGAACCATGGCCCTTTTTATATTGTCGCAATTTAAAAATGTTATTCGTGAGTACTTGAAATTTTTAGTGTAAAATAAAGTATTTATTTTCTGATTGTAATGTTGTTAATGACTTATAATACTTTATAGTTTATTGTATATAGTATGAATGACTAAGTGATTCAGGTACATATAATCTGATTTGATTAATTTGGAATTTCTTTTATAGGTGCCTACACTTGTTTTTGAAATAATAACAATATAATTAATATAGTATAAAATATCTTAGGCTGGCAAACCGTCTCCGTTCAGAATCGTTTTTCGTTATGATATTATATCATTGAATTCAAATTTAATACCATCCGTTACAGTTATTCACTTGTAACTAATATCCCACTTCTTACTGTACAGAAGAGCGACATCTACTTACCTGTTTTTTTTTTATATTTTATATATGACATTTTTATTATTGAATGGAGTATTTATAAATACGAAACGCGTATCATATTAGCCATAATATGATTAATTATTTTTAAAATTCTTCTGAAATATAATCAATAAAGACTAGCTTTTGCTGTATAGCGGGGAATGGAGATGGGCAACTAGCGGTCTGTGTATCATTTTTACCTAACTCGTACTAAATTTTTGATTGTAATTCTCAAGGTTAGGTTTTTGATATTTTTACATTTTAATTTTTAAGTGACTTGTGAGTATTTTACAAACTATACATATTTTTGYGAAATTTAAAATGACCATAACATTCTTGAAAATTAAAATATTGAGAAAAATCTGTACCTATAGTATTCTTATACTTTCAAATTATATAATATGCCGATCCATTGTAATATTAAAAATAACATTATTAAATATATTATTCCTAATGCAAAATTTGATATGTTGAGAGTTTGTAAGGCGCAAACWACACAATATGTGGTATAGAGTTATCTTATTGAAAATAATTATATTAAAAAATTATAATATATAACAACAATAACGTATTATGTTAGTGACCATGGAATTAAATGATTATAAGGAAATAAATATTTTAGACACACTCGTAAATTCATAACATTATGCTTATCACGTTTTGCTCAAAGGTATTGTGTTATTAAAATCTAATAATTATTAAATGTTTAAAATTATTATTTAAATTTACAATAATATCTATATTTGAGTATTCAATACGATTTAAATAAACTGTTGTTTATATCTATGCTTCTGTTTATAATAGCTGAAGATGATGATCCTATTGGAAGTGGTCGGATATCCGCTAGAACAACATTAACCGCTCCCACAGCTAAAGACAAACGCAAAATTTTCTTTAAAAAGCAAGAAACCACACCACCATACGATGTCGTACCATCTATGAGACCAGTTGTGCTTGTTGGTCCATCTCTCAAAGGGTACGAAGTGACTGATATGATGCAAAAAGCTCTGTTCGACTTTTTGAAACATCGGTTTGAAGGACGGTACGTTGTTATAGAGTTGTAATTGTATTTAAAGGAAAATGTTTTTACTAAACGAAATTGACGTTTTATCGATTTTCATTCTTTCATTATGATATGGAAAAATCAGCTATTCTCATTATTATTTGATTTTTTTTTCAGAATAATTATTACACGTGTAATGGCTGATATATCTTTGGCCAAAAGATCTCTTCTCAATAATCCTTCGAAAAGAACAGTTATCGAAAGTAAACCTGGTTCAAACTCAAGATCGAATATTATGGCTGACGTACAACAGGAAATCGAACGGATTTTCGAGCTCGCGCGAACACTACAGGTTCAATTAACTAATTATAWAATTTCATCCGTCTTTAATWTWAATTTTTTTATAGCTTGTCGTTTTGGATTGTGATACAATCAATCACCCATCGCAATTAGCAAAAACTTCTTTGGCACCAACCATAGTTTACTTAAAAGTCTCGTCACCTAAAGTAAGTGTCTTAAATTTATTTGACTACCAGGGTGTCCTCGTAGTCGTGTAATAATATTAATAATAAAAATAAATCGAATATAAATAATAATTGTTGTTTTATAAACCTGCAGACATTGAGGATCGAACCCTAAAACGCATATTTTTAACAAATAGTTAAATTATTATTGTTGATAATTATAATTGAAGCTTTGGTATAAATTTAGGTATTTGAAATGATGAAACGACTTTTTGATCACTATAACACTGCAATATAATTATTACATAAATGTAACATCAGGGACTGAATAAAAAGCATGGTGTATTGGTGTTTTGCGAGGGAATGTCTTTTCGTAAAATTTAAACCTACCTATTCATATTCCATCATTGATGTTATATACTCATACCTATTGACGATTTATAGAAAAACTTTTAGTGTACCTATTATTTGCAAATTTGTCATATAGTTAAAAGGTAATTTTAAAAGCTTTTAAATTTGATTAACTAGCTAATTTTTTAATGAACGTAATTACTAAATATTTTAATTACTCAGCTATTTTCAGTTAATTTGAAAAATAACAGACACACGTTAAATTTAAATCATATTTAAACAAATCTATTTTGTGTTTCAAATTATTTWTTTTTTTTTTTAATCGCGCTGGATAGACAATAATTTTAAATAAAAGTATCTACTTAATCAAATAATAAATAATTCTTGACTCAATAATTTAGTAGACTTAAACTTTTAWTATCCTAAATCAGAACATTATTCAATAATAAGTACTAGGAAAATAAGTTATTTAAAAAAATTAAGAGTTTCACAATTATTATTAAAGAGTTCAATTAATAATGTATTGTACCTACCTACCTGGGTGATAACTAAAAAATAACCTACTAACTTATTTACAACTTAATCAATATTTTGTTCTATATTAACTTTTAGAGTTATTTGGTAAAAATATATTAAGTTATGAACTTAAATAAACTCACTCAAGTTAATTTCTCACCGTTGATAAATATTTTATTGACTAACCATAGCAATCGTTAAACTCACACAAAACCACAAAATTCAAATATGCTTTAGAAATAAAAATGTATTTACCTATTATGTTATGTACTATAAATCAGGTCTTTAAACTGTGAGAGGAGGGGTGGGAAATATTTCTGTATCCAGCTAGCCTACTATACAATTTGGGTACACCCTTTAGCCCTTTTTTGCGACTAGTTAGCGCAAAACTTCAGAACTCGATTGTGCACGTGAATTTTTACAACTGCTCTAAAATGACTCAAACATAAAAACTGTTCGCGTACTACTATATCAAAAGTCAACTAAAACTCAAAAGAAGTTACAGAAAATGACACGTGTTCAGTTACTTTGTAAAATT